CCTCCCCCAGTTCAAGGCCTGTCTCAAAGCTTACCTCTTTGACTGTGCTTTTGGTCATCTTTTCTCTCCCTACCCCCTTGGCTCCCACCCTTAGCTTTGGTGCCTAGTCAGCAGTGTCAAGTGCTTTATGATATCCTCAATGTGAAAGGCTCTATGTAAATGGAAATTGTATTTGTTGTATTTGAATAAGCAATTCAGAATTGGTATTTCCAGGTGCAGTAAATTGTTAAACTGATTGTAGTGCTTCAGTGTAATGTTGCATTTTAAAAACAAATTCAATAATTTTTGGTACGTGGCGTCCAGAAACAACGAGGGAGATCACTTTCAGGAAGTTTAAAACAGTTTTTATTCTTGCACAGAATCAGACAAGCTATCATCAGTTTGAATCAAAACATTCCACAGAGCTCTTCCTTGTATCCTGGGTGTGGCAGCTCTCCTTGCATACACTCTCCACTGAGATTAGTTCTTTATTTAATAGGCTTCTGCCTTCAATTACCTCATTAGCCCAAACATTCCTTTCATGCTTTTAAACTGGACCTGCTTTGCCTTCTCCAAGTGAGGTCCAGCCATCCTCTGCCCTATCACAGTGCAGTAAATCATGTAAGTTCTCTAATTTTTTTAACTATATAAATGCTTTTCATGTTGAAACATCTCAAGTGCTTTCCAAGTAGTTACTTAAGTATACTGACTTTTTTGTAGGTAAATATTCAGGACTCCAAATAGCATTGATAGACTGAGCCTAAGTATGTTTAACATGGTCAAAAAATCGAGTTAAGGGACACAGATTCAAGCTCATAAAATCAAGACTTACCAGCTTCCTGTAACCTTTTTTAACTGGATGCCTAATTCCATTTATTTGTCTTCTCATCTTTCTGTCTCTATCCCCACCCAACTCCAAAGCAGTTCAAACCAGTTAATCTATTCCTTTGTGATCCTTCAGACTGGATTTCTCCAATCCCTTCTCATTGACATTCTCAGCTTATATCTCTAGGAGCTCCAAAACATCCAGAACTACGCTCCCTTTCCCAAACCAGGCTCCATAAAACTATCACTCTAATCTTTACCTGACCCTATTTCCCTTTGGATTAAGGCCCTCATTCTAACCTTTGCTCCCGAGCTCCTTCCTGCTTCTGTGCAGTTTGTCAATACACTGTGAATGTTTCTGATCCTCCTCCCAACAGACTGTGTCTGGTCTGGTAAGTTCTGCTCCACGTCCTCTCCCTTTGCGTTACTATTGATGGGTGAGTTTTCAGCCCCTGTTTCCCTACTCTTTGTTACCCTCTCCCTAAATCCTTCCATCATACACTTTCTCTGTCCGCTTTCTAAATCCCGGTAAAAGCCCAACTCTGAGTGTACCTTAGATCACCTCCCTCATACCAATTACACCCATCTTCCACCAAGCTCATGCACCCACTCTTTCTCTGAAGTATTTTGAGACCTTTTCTTATGTCAGAGACTATAAGGGTGCATTTTGTTGTTCAGTCCAGTAGTCCTTCCAATATTAAGAGGTCTTTCCTGTAATACAGTGATCAGAATTGTACTTCCGATGAGTCAGATCAGTATCCAAATTATTAGATGTTCAGTATCTCTTCATATTACCAAGTACTATTCGCTTTTTGCCACCTCACATTGATGGTTTTGCCGAGCTGTCCATTCATACTCCCAAATCCCTCTGCGATGTCATGTCCTGTAGATTAATACTTCTATTGTTTGTTCAGCTTATGCTGGAGTCTGTGAAGTGAATAAAAAGATTCAAGATATTTTAAAAGGTGTTCAGTGGAGCCTAATGTTTAGATAGGTGGGATGAATTTAATGAAATAGATTTTGAAACAATGTATAAACATTGTAGCACAGATTGGATAAAATGACTTCTTGAGTGATCAAGATATGTTTCTGATAATTTAGTAGTGTATGTTGCAAAATGTACTAGTTGATTATTATCAAATAAATACTTTTTATGAATTTACAGCTTTCAGTGATTTCTACATACTGCAACATAGTTACAAAATAGAACAGCACAACTTGACATTAATTCCAAATATTTTCATGTGACAGGGTGATGCACTTTGGCAATACACTGTTTGTATCTAACACAGACTGATAGGTGACAGTTGTGTTTTTTGTCAGCTGTTTTGTGAGTTCATAAAAGGTGCAGACTTGTTGAACAAACCCAATGTAATTTGACAGGCTTTAACCAGAGAAGCCAGAAATATGGCAAGTATGCAAAATTAAAAAGTCACATTGGTGCAGTATGTGGCCTGAGGATAAAAATAATATTGCTGGAGCAAAGTGCAGGGATGTTTAATCTGCATCTGAACCCTGCCTTCCTACTAGGAAGGTGAGAAAGTGATTGATGGTGGCCAAACAGCTATGCTTTCTTTAACTGTAGGTTTTAGACAAAGTTATGAATAAAAACAGGAGTTTGTTGTAAAGTTTATATCATCCATACACCAGCACACACTTGCCCCTCTGTTGAAAATGTTTCAATAAATTATAGTTGAAGATGTAAGTAGGTCCATCTCATGACGTTAGTTTGCTAGTTAGTAAATTCCTAATGCAAGCAATCATATAATTGTAAGGTGGTAGACAAGAAAGTCAATAAATAATATACAGCCATGCAAAGAAATATTGCATTACCATTTTCCCAGCCATCTGGTATCACAACAACAACATTTGCATTTAAATAGCGCCCTCCACGCCGGGCGGTATCTCGGAGCGCTTAACAATGGCAGAGTCCAAGCCAAGGGGAGGGGAAGGTGACCATAGGCGTGGTCAAAGAGGAAGGTCTTCAGGCGTGACCTGAAGATGGGAAAGCAGGGAGCAGAAGATTAATCTACCATTAGATGAATGGAATCATTGTTCCTAGTTATTTTATTGTTTATTTTCTGAGTCTCACACCAGTCACATGTTTTGAGATGACAAGCAAGCTGGTGACCCATTTCCTTTGATCTATGCCAATGATATGTTGAGCTTCGTGCTGACAGGTGTGTGAGAAGGGGCTGTGGTAACTCCATCCAGTTTACAATACCTCTTCTGGTAAAATGCTCAGCATATGTTTATGCGTCATGTGAGAGCACAGCTGAGGTTGGAAGCTTTATGTTGAGTTTGGAAAGGAAACAATCTACCACTCCATGTCAAGGGGTGATGAGCAGAATATAGCAACTAGCAAAAAATAGTAACTTAAAACAGTTAAATTGTGGGCTTTTCATGACCTGGTTATTTAACTGGCTTTTTGAAAGATTTATACGTAGACTAGAATTGTAGATGTATTCTATTTTCTTTTAAAAGGAAGCCCTAGGTTATGTAATAATTCAGATCTGCACTTTGATGTTTAAAGACGTACTGACTTATTACTTAATCATTGAGCATAGTTTCAGACCAAATGCCAGTTTTCTAAGATAAAACATTCCAGTGACTTTCAGAAATCAATATAGCTTAACTGGAAATATTGGCATCTTGAAAGAAATCTGTCCAAAATGTTGTGATTTATCTACAATGGTTTTTTTGCTTGTGTAAGATGGCGCTACCAAAGAAAAATATTTTCCTGTGTTGTACAATTAAGCTTTCTGATTTTTGTTTTTTCACAAAATTGCTAAACAAATAAACCCCAAAACGTCAAATGAATAACCCCCAAAGTTAGAAGTATCATGCATAAATAAGGTCTGAATTTTATTTTTGTACAGAAACAAATAATACAGAAATTTAAAAAGAAATTTCCCATCTTAGTCCCATGTAAATGGATACTCTTTATCACTTTTTACTCAAATATTAGCTCTGTACAATGTTACTGTTGTTGCATTATTAGCTCTGTACAATGTTGCAATTGTACACCACCCAGTTTGATATGTTTGTTACTTGGTGAAAGTTACTTGTGGACTTGAGTCTTGCTTTTGGTGCATTTCATGCATATGAGTGAGAGAAGGAGAATATTTGAATTGGCAGTATTTTGCAAGGAGCAGAGGGTCGAAGGTATTTCATAGTGCAGGTACATAAGTTCTTGAAGGTGACAAGTATGTGGAAAGGGCTATGACAAAAGCTTGTCAAACAAAAAACAAGGACATAGAGCAATAATAATAATTCTTGAATTTGATATAGTGCTTTTTCACTTTGTCATTATCTCTTCAAGTGTTTCACAGGATGTACTGTAAATTGGTGTGACTGTATTTTTGTGGGTGACTGAGCACAAAAGCAATATTGTTGAATTTGGACAGATTATTGGTTAGGCCAGAACTGGAGCACTGCGTTCAGTTTTGGGCATCTCACATCAGGAAGGATGTTAAGACCTGGAGGGGGTATGGTGGAGATTGACAAGAATAATGTGGGGATGAGAGGCGATAGTTGTGTGAGGAGACCTTGGAGAAACTTAATCTATTTTTATTGGAGACAAGAAGGTTGAATGGGACCTGATAGAGGTGTACAAAATGATGAGGGGCTTGACGGTAAATAGAACAAGCTATTTCCACTGGTTGGGAGGTCAGTGACTAAAGGACATGCGTATAAGATATTCACAAAAAGACCGAAAGGAGAGCTTAGGAGAATTTTTTTCACACCAAGTGTTTTTAGGATGTGGAATGCGGTGGTAAAAGCAGAGCTCATTGTGGGTTTCGAGAGGGAGGCAGATAGCCTGTATAAAAGATAAAGGTGTGAAGAGTGGTGGGGGGGGGTGGTGTGGGATTGCAGACAACTTGCTCTGAAAACTGGTGCAGACTCGATGGGCCAAATGGCCTCCTATTGCGCTGTAGATTTCTAATATTCCATGATATGGCTGGATTTTCAATAGTTGGCTTAATTTCCACCGTACCAAACCTGGTGGACACATGAGCAAGTGACCAGTTTAGCTATTTAAATTGTTGGCTACATTTAAATAATCTCAATTGCAAATCATATCAACAATTGCACCTTGATGGCAGAACTCTATTTGTGAATTGTAAATTTAAGAATCTTACTCACGGTTGTTTTGATTGTTGTTGCTTACATATAATTATACCCTTTTCTTCCAGTTTTGGCAAGCGGTCTGCAGGGAGCCTGAGGCGTGGCTGTGAATGTATTGTACTGGAGCCTTCAGAAATGATTGTGGTAAGGTCATCTTTCAATAATTTTGCTGGATATTTTTGTTTCTAGTAGAAAAGACCTTCAATTATAGCAGTTAAGCTAAGTGTCTTCAGATGCTCATTAAGTGACCTTAGGTGTTCATGTTGAATACTAACTTTGATCTTTTCAGTTAAAATGTTTACGTTCTTATTGCTGTTATTGGTGAATTTCATCACACTGGTAAGTGCATTTTATTTCTGTTTCAAGTCTTAATAGGTAGGAGAGGGAGCAAGGCCATGGATGGCCTTGAAAGTGAGGACGAGCATCTTGAATTTGATCCTCTGAGGGATAGGGGGGCCAGTGGAGTCGGGCGAGGGTGGGAGTGATGGGGTCACGGAACCTGGTGTACATGAGCTGCAGATTTGGGATGATTTGCAGCTTGTGAAGGGAAGAGTTAGGAAGGCCGATGAGGACAGAATTTCCATAATCGAGCCTTGATGTGATGAATGACTGGGTGAGGTTTTCGGCTGCCTGAGGGGTGAGGCAGTGGCGGAGTCTGGCAATGTTGCGGAGGTGGTGGTAGGCAGTGCCGATCATGGCGTGGATGTGAGGAGAAAGGACAGTTCAAGGTCAAACAAGACACCCAGATTCCTGACTGGCTTAGTGAGGTTGAGTGTGCAGTCTTGGAGGCTGATGTTGCCAGCGCCCGAGGTGTAAAGGTGCTGGCGTTAGCCAATCAGGAGGGCCTCGGTCTTGCTGACGTTGAGTTAGAGGAAGTTGTCCCTCGTCCAGGACTTGATGTCGGACAGGCAATCGGTCAGGACGCCAGTAGTCCTGGAGTTGAGGGTGGAGGCAGAGAGATAGAGTTGGGTGTCATCCGCATACATGTGGAAATTTACCCCATGTCTGCAGATGATGTTACCAAGCGGGAGCATGTAGAGGGTGAAGAGGAGGGGACCGAGGACAGAGCTCTGAGGAATGCCGCACAAGACGGTGCGGGGGCTGGAGGAGAAGCTGTTTGCTGAGATGAAGTGGAGGCGGTGTGAAAGGTTGGACCTGAACCAGTCAAGGACAGAACCTTGACTGAAATAACATTCTGTTCAAAGCCATATCTCTTCCTGTCCACGGGCACAAGAAGGTGACCGAGCTTCAGGCCTCTGCCAATATCACGGCATGATTCCTAACAGCTTGTGAACTCCTCACAGCCTGTACAATTATTTTATATTCTCTGTCCTGATGCTACAATCCTCTATCACACAGTTAGCGGTGAGGCATGTGATGGTTTTCATTCCCTTGGTAAAGCTATCAAAAACCACAATCTGTATGGAGTCATTCGAGACCTGATTTGAATCAGCACATGTCATTTCCATTGTCAAATTAATAACAATTTTCGGCAGAAGAAGATAATTGATCAATTTTGCCTAACCAGGTAATGTCCTACAAGGTTCTTTTGATGTTCAATCTCTCCATGTGAATCGCTTTCATCCAGTCTTGACTGCGCTAACTCCCTGCTGTCCAGACTTCCCAACGTTTCCCTTAACAAGCTGCAGATTATTCGAAACTCTGCAGCTCATGTCCTCTCTTACACCAAGCTCGTGACCCTCTCACCCCCACCCTCATCCAGCTTCACTGGCTCCCCATCACCCAGAAGATGGTGTTCAAAATCCTCGCCCACACTTTTAAAGCCCTCCACATTCTTGCTCCTCCCAACCTCTGCTTAAGCTGCTACTAATTTTAACGTCCACTTTTTAGTGAAAAACATGCTCCTTAGATTTGAGTGTATGTCTGTTTCATCCTTCTCCTTTAGCCCTGTCTATTTAGGAGAGGAAAGTTCCAAGATAGCCCCAGCATTTCTTTGGTGTTCTAGCCCTGCCAATGTTCTGTGAAGAAGCTCATTGCAGTAACACTAAATTATTGAAGCAAATATAATGTACCACAATGGCTATAATGTATTACACTCTTTGGGTAAGCTGAGCCAATATTCCCACTATTTTTTGTTTTACATCTTATATGCAGTACCTTACATTTATTTTTATTGGAATCTACAAGGTCTGGTACATTTCACCAGTTGTTATATTCTGTTTAATTCATCTGCTTAAGCCCTAAGGCACCACATTTAATATCTTCCCACATTTCAATTCTCCTCCCCTTCTAGCATCCTTTCAGTTACCTCCTTTATAAAGGAATTTCTTGTGTTTGTTGTGGAAGGCCCTTTTGAAAGTAGTATGAAACTGTCATGTGACTTGAGGCTTGAAAGCTTATGTATGGACAGTGGGATTAAATGACCACCTTGCTCTGAGATACTCGAAGGGCCACATGGCCTCCTTTGTGCTGTATATTTCTATGATTCCCACTGTCAATTTGAGATGCCTCTTCCTCAAGTATACTACATTGAGCTCCTGATATTGATCCTGGCTTACATCATAACATGACTTGTATCATCAGGCTACCAATATCCTGTCCACTTTCCATGCAAAATGTGAATAAGGGATTCCCCCTACTTTATTTCATCACTATCTTATACTAACAAAATGACAATGTCTGCCTGAGCTTCAAGAAGGATCTCAATAACTGATTGATGTAGAGACATGATCTATACCTCATCGGAAAGGTCTTGCACCTGAGAATGAGGTGGGCATATTTGTTTTCGGGTATCTCCTATCGTTCATGAATTGTTTTCAGTATTGCGTTTTTCGCTCCAGTTACACCTGGTGGCCGCCGAGTCAAAGTGACGCTGTGCCTTCGTGCGTTACAGAGCACGCATGTAGCCAAGCGGCGGGAACAAAATAAAGAATATAGACGAAACTAAGCCATGGCAACAACAACAAAATTGCATTTTTAAAGCAACAACTCTTCCCACTGAGTCCTCCCACAAAAGTCTTCACAGAGGAGTATAGATAAAGATGAAACGTCTGTCTGTGTGTCAATCTACAATCCATATTGGATTCCATATCTGGAGCACCAAATAAAAAAAAGTTTTTTTAAAAATTGGACAAAATGGCTTTCTTGCTCCTATACTCTCAGTGACCTTAAAAAGAGCTTTTATTTTTGCTTTAATGCTGGAGGGTCATTTGATGTAATTTTACTGAAATAGCTATGGCTTACACCATGAAGGTCTGTTATTTATTTCAATAACTTTTCACATGTATGATGATGAGACAGCTCTACCTCTTATTTTCCACCTTCAGTTCCAGCAGGTTAACTGTTCTCGCTGACTGCCTGTCCAATGTCAAATCCCAAACAGGTCTTCACTTCCTTCAGTTAACAACACTGAAACCATCTTTTTCAGTTCTCATCGGTGCATTCTTACTCCCTAGCTACCAAGTCATGCTTAACTGGCGAGTGAGCAATCAAGGTGTCCTGATGGATCCCGAGGTGCGGTTCAGACTCCACATCTGGTGCATTGCTAAACCTACCTTTATCCATCTGAGGAACATTGCTCCCTATCTCACCTCCTCTGCTGCTTCAACACTCTGAGGATAGATTTCTTCATATTAGGTCCACTGTTCTTTTTGATATACTTGGATATAGAAAGCGGCTTTTTAAAGTTTATGCAGATGACACAAAACTTAGTAGTAAACGTAGTAAACAGGGAACATGCGTAGAAGTGTGAGATGAGGAAGAATGAGGAGAGGCAATATACACTAAGTGGTAGTTTTAAAGGGGGTTCAGGAAGAGAGAGCTCTGGGAGTTCACATACACAGTTCTTTGAAGGTGGCAGGACAGGTTGATAGACCTGTTAAAATGCATATGGGATCCTTGGTTTATAAATAGAGGCATAGAATACAAAAGCAAGGAAGTTCTGTAAAACTTTACAAATCACAAGTTAGGACTTATCAACACTGCTACTGTGGGGGAGTGGGCTCTGGTTGGGCATGCGCGGTGCGGGGAGTGTTGGGATCGTGAAAGTGGCGCAAGCAGAAAATCGACTTTGCCTAGCTCCTGCGGCCTAACCTGAGCTCCTGCGGCCAATTCTTGGTAAGTGCTGTAAACATGCCACCATGGAAGTAGTTGTTCTTACGTGAGAGAGTGAACTTAATCAAAACCAGTCAGGGCAAAAGTCGTAGGCAGTTAGCTGTGATCTATGGCACTGGTGGAACACAAGTTGGATGCATTCTCAAAAGGTAGGCTGAATACATGACAGGTTTCGTTTTAAATGTGACAATGCCTTTATTTTGAAGAGATTGCAAAGTATGGTTGTTGAATTTTATCATCCTTGCCCATAACCAATGCCCTTAACATTACGTCAGTGACCTGAATCACCCAACATGTTTCAGTAATCGGGTCACCTCACTAAGTAGATCACTTTTACCCAGTCACTTGAGTGACTGGATCAGTGAGGTTCTAATGTATTATATACAGTGCTGCAAATGACTAAATATTGATGCTGCTGGAAATAATGTTGGTTGTAAATGTCCCCTATTATGAGTTGGAGAATGCTTGGTATGCACTATCCAAATGAAATATGTACTAACAAAAGAATGTTGTTTTTGCACTTTCTGGCACATGGATTGTGTTAGGGTTTGTAGTTTGAAAGGTATACAGGAAAAGAGGAAAAAGAGAAGCATAGAGTCAATATTCCTGAAAGGGTATAGAATCTGGAGTCTGAATACAGATGTGCATATAGTTTCTGTATCGTTTTCTTATGAGAGCTTTACAAAATTTTTCCAGATGAATATCAAATCAGCATCAGAGGGGAGATTCTCTGGAATTGTTACTATACTAATCAGGGAAATTCACCACAAGTTCTCTTTTTTAATGTTTTAGAATGTCTCCTCCAAAACCAAATATAAAACATAGTTTTTTTTTATTTTTGCAGGTGGACTACATGGATGAAAATGAGGAATATTTTCAGCGGCAAGCTTCTCACAGACAGTCTCGCAGAAGATTTAAAAAAATTAACCAGAAAGGAGAGCGCCAAACAATCATTGACACTGTGGATCCCTACCCAGTCGGAAAGCCACCATTACCCAGAGGATACCACACGGCAAGTCTATTTACTGATAATTTCCTTGGGTTTAAATATTTTTAGAATGATAGCTTTTTATTTTCCCTCTGAGCTCCAAATTTCATCCATCAGCTGTAGTCAAAAACTATCTGCTTTTTGGCATCTACTAATCCCACAGTGAGTTATGTCCAGCATGATTTGCGTTGGATGACCTGGGAATGTCTCTTCTCCTGTCTTCTTGGCTGTTCAGCAAGTATCCAATAGCTTGTCTATACTGTTGGAGGTGTTTTGAAGTGGCAAATAACATTTTTAGAGAAATGACTGAAGTAATTCCACCTTTCCTTCTACATTTCTGGTACATATAATTTTCTCTTTGTGATTCCAGTTTGTGAATGTAGTACGTATAGTCGAACTTTGTTATAGTTTTCATTACAATGGAGTTTTGCTTATAAATATGGGCACTAATATTTACTAAACAAAAAATCCAAACTGCAATACAACAGTTTCTCATATGCTTAATAAATGGCTAACTTAATTGGCAGGCTTTCTGTGTGCAGGCAGAAGCACTGACAATTGCACCCTGTTACATTGCTGATTAGGATTTTATGGACCTCGGCTACCAAATTATCACAAGACTCAACTGTAATGTGTTTTTATATTTACCCATAAAGAAAAGCGAGTAAATATATGGTAAATGTGAATAAAATTCTAAACTTGGAGGATTGAAAATTGTATTTGAAGTTTTCCACTTACCAGCAATGAGTTTTCAGGGAATGTTAGTTAGGTCATCAGAGACATATTTGTAACCCTATTTTATTTAACACAGCACTTCATGTTGAATCTGAAATGAAATTGAGGCCTGAAATTTCACCCAGTGTTATGTTCTCAGATCATTTTGTCATAAAGTTTAAGAATGTGTGGAATTGTCAAGAAATTCTTCAATTCAGTCTTCAAAAGGAAGCTGTTTTAAAGGCCTGTCTCCTTCACTGAGCTTTGAATACCCTCTCCATTCTTCAATTTTGAATCACCCTCCCAGTTTAGGATCCCACTCCTTTACGTAGCACTTTGAGACATTCTTCCTAACTGTTTGGCTCTATATAAGTGCAAATTGATCGATTTCTCACTCCCCCCGCAATTTCTTACAAAAAAACTGTTTTCCAAATTCACACTGAATTAAAATATATTCCACAGCTCTGCATGATATAAAATTTAAAACGTAAAGATGTTACAGACTGAAGTGGAATTTTGGACCTCAGAGGGTGTGTGTGTTTGCACGTGTGTCCACATGCACCTTGGGCAAGAAATAGAAAATTATATTGCATCAGTGGATAAGCCTTAAGCTGATGGATTTAAAAAAAGTTTTTTGACTTGAAATAAATATTCTGTTTCAAATCATTCCTCTTCATTTTTTTAAAAAAGTTATAGTAATGTCTTTTAGTTGCAAGGTATAGTTAGTAAATTAAGACTAAAGTTTCTGATATCTTTCTTTTTCTGTAAGCATTGGGTTTAAGTGCTCCTGTTGTTTGATTGATTCTTCTACATTACAATTGGGCTAATTTATCAGGACTCCATTACAACAACAAATTGCATTTGTGTTGCGTCTTTCATGTCGGGAGGATGTCCCAAGGTGCTGGGCATTGAAGGAAAGGTTTGCACCCTAACTGGGGGCTGGAGTTGAGGGGTGGAGGGCAAATCGGGGTGGGCTGGAGGTGCGAAGGTGACCGAAGTTGTGGTTGAAGAGGAAGGTCTTAGGACATTGTATTTATTGTAATTGAAAGGGAGCTAAATTCCAGTGATGCAGTGATGTCTTATGATATTTTTTGTTTGATTACTCTGAATATCTTCTTGTTCTGTTTGGAATGCACAGTGATTACTATCTGTGCAGTCCAAGCAGAACAAGAAGATATTCTACCTACAGTGTGGCATAGTATTTCCTACTGCGAATGATGGTTAATTACGGACTCATTTCCTGTGAAAATTTCAAAACTGTTTGTCATTGCGGGAAGGTCTTCCACAGGAAGTTTGATAGCAACCTATTTTATCCAAGCAGGAAAAGTGCTCACGTCAATTTAGATGTTTTAACTAAGTGAGCAAGGAGAACATTGAAAAACAGCTGGCAGTCGTTCACTGGGAATTAAAAAAAAGGGAGATATGAAATGAGTGACCATCACTGGTATTTTGAGGACTTTTAACCATTCTGAAAACTGGGGAGAGACTTGTGGTCCTAAAAACACCTAAACTGTTTTACTTCTATGTATGATTCAATCTAATTTAAAGAGCTGGTGCTTATGTTGCTTGGATGATGATTGTGCAACCACAGTGTTCTCTCTTTTTATGCTTCTGACATACATAACTGCCCTTTCAAAGCAATAGAACACAGTTAACACAACTGCAGTTTTGCGAATGTAAATTAGGTAACTGAATTTTCAGAAATGCAATGTTGTATATTGAATATTAGGAAGTCTTAAATATTAGATTCTTGTTAATAATTTGAAATCAAGACCCGCACACAGGAAGATGCGATTTTTAAAATAATCCTGAGTTATGGTATAATAAAAATATTGTCAGACTTTTATTCTAGAGCAATGTGCTGCATAGTGTATCGGATGATGGTGAAACTAGCTGAACATGCGTGGTGTATATGAACAACAACAACAACAAGATTCCATTTATAAAGCGCCTTTCACGTCAGGAGGACATCCCAAGGCGCTGTACAGTTGGGTCATGACCCGAGCAGGGAGGAAATGGTCAGGGTGAGGGGAACTGTGCATATGAACTGTGCATATGACCAATAAGTGACATTGTCAGTGTTGAAGCACTTTAAAATCAATGAATCTATGTATTTGAGGGCACTATGGGAGTGGTCAAGTGTCTGTTTAGTCATTGCATATTCTGCTAAGACTACAAAATAAAGATGATTCTTGCTGTGCAAATGTAAAATATGTAATACAGTAATTCAAAAGTTTAAGATTTATGTTGTGCTTAGAAATAATGGATGCTACTATTTAAACTTGTGTATGCTTGGTTAAAATAGCATTTATTGATCTATTTAAAATGATTTGGGGAATGAGGGCTTCCAAGTTCATCATAAGATTGTAGCAATGGAATGAAAATTGAATCTGGTAATGTTCATTTTTTCCTTTCCTCTTTTATGGCATTCATTTAATTTGGCTGCCAGGTATGCGCTAAAGCAAAGGTATTGGGATTGTTGGGTGTAAACTCAACTAACCATGCTAATTGCTTTGTCATAGTTAGATCTGTAACCAACTGTCAATTAACAGTATTTTCTGGCTGACTATATGTGTCTACAGTTACAGATGTTCTCACGTATTGTGGAATGACAGATATAGCATTATATATTCTAAACGTTTGTAAAAAAANGACTCAACATTCTGTTCTGTTCATAGCATATGTGGTTCAATTTGTTTTTCTCAGTTCCTTCTGTATTTTTGTTTACGTGACTAGTTGAAAACAACTAGTTGAGTTTGCGTGTTATGATCTGAATCAATATTTCCTTAAAATATGATTGTTTCCTCCTGATGTAGTAGGATATGAAACTGCAATACTTTTTTTGTTCAGTAGAGATACCTCTTGAAGTTTAAATGATATTCCTTTCTACCCCACATTGGTGCCATGACCCGCACTGCCTTCCCCCACCTCCTCAGCATTGCCCGGCTCCGCTACTGTCTCACACCGCAGGCCGCCAAAACCCTCATACATGCTTTCATTACATTGAGGCTTGACTATGCAAACTCATTGCTTGTCGGCCTCCACAACTCCTTCCTCAATAAGCTGAGATCATCCAGAACTCTGCAGCCGGTGTCCTCTCCCACCCTGAGCTCTGCTACCCTATCACCCCCATCCTCGCCTGATTCCACTGGCTTCCCATTGCACAGAGGATACAGTTCAAGATCTTGGTGCTCACTTCAAAGCCCTCCATGGTCTTGCCCCCCCCACCTCTGCGAGCTCCTAATCCTCTACCGTCCTGCTTGCTCCCTCCGCTCAGCAGGCTCCAGCCTGCTTCACGTCCCCTGCCTCACTCGGCACACTATTGGCAGTCGGGCCTTCTGCCACTCTGCCCCTCCCTTTGGAACTCCATCCCCCAATCCCTCCCCCTCACCCCCTCCCTTGCCTCCTTCAAGACCCATCTCAAGACCTTCCTCTTCGACCATGCTTTCGATCTCCCTGCTTCCCCCCCCGTCCGTCCTCCACCCTCCCAGATGCTGACCCCAGCTCGGGTCCGAAACTCTGTCTGTCCAGTGCCTTGGGACATCCTCTCGATGTGAAAAGCGCTATACAATTTTAATTTTGTTGTTGAAACAATATTTTGAGATTGTGTAGAATTTTCATCAGGAGTTTCTGCTTCTCAATTCTGTCAGGCTCAATTGTGATTTTGTTTTGGTCACAATTGACTTATTTAACAAAGTTAGTGTCAGCTTTGAACCAGTATAATGATATTGGCTTCTTATAATAAATAATAATCCTTGCATTTGATATAGCGCCTTATCACATCTTTGAGACGTCTTAAAGTGCTTGACAAAACGTATTGTAAAGTGACTTGTCTGTATATTTTGTGGGCAAAACCAACAGCCAATTGCACATAGGAGTGTTCTACAAACAGTCGTGGATTGAAGTGACCAATTTATTATTTATATTTTTTTTTGAAGGAATTGTGTTTTTCGGTTGTCCAGAAATAGATTTTTAAAATACTTTCTGCTATATGTTGCCAAATTAAGCTATGCATTTATTTAAGCTTTTTTTTAATTGAGTGACAAAGCATTTATGCATGATTTCCTACCGTGTGCTTGTGCTTCCTTTTTATCCGTTTGAAGGTCATGCTGCAATGTCAATGTGTATTCTCTCTTTTTTAAAAAATGGGCAAAATCGAGCTTTGGATTACTGTATTTTGATAATGATACTGACCCACAAATGATACATAACCGCATGATATTATCTGTATGCTTTCAGAGCAATGATTGGAAAATACTGCTTCTAGACAGGTTAGATTCAAGAAGAAAGTAAGTGGATAGATCTGGTTT